CGCAATTGCCGGGGGAAATGGGGGGTGCGGGAGGCTTCCTCTCCGGTGTGGCGCACACCCGCTCTCGGAGAAGGCGGTTCCGAGGCCCCAGCACTGGCCTCGATGGCGCCCGAGTCCCCCTCCCTCCTCCCCTCTCCCCAAGACTCTTGGTCTGTCTGGGAAGAGGCTGCACCAGCATCCAGGGCTGGACGCTTTCATTCCCGACCTCACTCCTCCCCCCGCACCCACCCCGCAGAGGAAGAGGCCCCGATGCTGTAGACAACCACGTGCTGGGTCAAGGCCAGGCCCCAGCTCTTGCCGTCACTGCTGGCTGACCACAAGGTCCCCTGGCGCGCAGGAAATGGACCGGAGGGCCAGGCCAGCGAGCGAGGCGGTCCACCCTGTCCTGGAACAGGGGCAGATGCCAGGGCATTCAGGAAGCGTGTGCGGCTCCTCTGCAAGGTGCCCCTCCCCATGCCAGGTGGGGGAGGAAGAGCGGCAGAGGGGCCTCGCCCTTCCTGCCCCTATACCCCGGCCAGGGACACCACCCCGGGCACACCCTGAGCGGTGACAAAATGGGGAGGGGGAGGGGTGCAGGCAGTGGAGCTGGCATGTGGGCAGGGACCTGGAAGAATGATGTGGACAGATGGGGCAAGGACAGACATCCGGAGCCAAAACAAATGCCTGGAACCAAGTCCCAGGGGCTGGAAAGAGCAGGGTGGGTTCTGGGAATGGCAAGCCAGCCAGTGGGACCGGGAGAACCGAAGCTCACAGGAGCTGAAGCGCACATGTGGATCTCAGATGCAGGCCCAGCGGCCCGGAGGGCCCTGGGGCCCTGGGTTCCACCCTGTGCCCCGGGGGCACTGAGTCATGCCAGTTCCCAGACAGATGCAGTCCTTCCAAGAATTCCACAGTCCTGCTCAGTCCCAGCTGCGGGAGCCTCGCCGCCTCGGGGTGGCTGTGGGTTGGTTCAGTCATCAGCATTCTTTCCATGGGCACAGGGATGGGCACCCCTGATGCCAGTGGTCACCATCGAGAGGGCCCGGCAGGCCCACTCTCAGAGCAGGCCCCCCCAGCCTTCAGATGGCCCCGAGAGTGGCCCTGGTAGGACTCCGGCAGCAGTTGGACTCCCTGAGCCTGGACTTGAAATGTGTTTCCCAGGCACCCGTTCCGCAGCTGAGACCAAAGTTTCCAACAGGAAGGGAGGGGAAGACTTCAGTTTGTTTCTCAAGAGCCAACTGGCCTTTCAAGCCAGTGATGGCCACGTGCACCTCACTGCAGGAGAACCAGGCGGCAGCGGGAGCTGCAGCCATTTCCCGCCGACTCCGCATACATGGAGGCCCGCCTGGGTGGCCCCAGCTCCTGCAACGCTGGCCCCCAGAAAGGGAAGATAGATGATCCCTCTAAGGACAGATTGGGGATCTGAACACCGGGCCATCTGCTTTCTTCCTGGCAAAATGGAGGTGATGATTCCTGCTCCAAACCTTCTTGTGTCTTGGAGTGATAAGTCACTCCAGCATGGAGATCGTTTTCAGTGAGCATTCTGTTCCTCCTAGTTTGCAAGTAACTCCTTTCACAAATTGAGGGGAAATCTCCAAGTCCGGCCCTCACAACTCCCTCAGCACTTGCCCACCCCCACCCACAATCTACAGGCTTTGGGGAGGACCCTGAAGCCATAGAAGAGGCCCCGTGTGAAGGTCAGGCTGAGGAACTTGGCAGTGGCTTCCCTGCTGCAAGGGCACTGCCACGGATGGGCAAGGGGGTGACCAGCTGTATGTACTCTCCCTGGACAGAACAGAAATATGGCCTTCAGCCTGGAGGGGGAGGGTGTCTAAAATCATAAGAAGGATTTCCTGACAGATGACAAGGTGGCCTTCAGGACCGTGGAAGTTGGAGATTCATCCTGAGCACCTGACCCTCTCATCGCCGGTGTTGCTCCCATTTGACAGCTGAGAAGACTGAGGCTGAAAGACATTCAGTAACCGGGTGAAGCAGCCACAGTGGCAGAGCTGGAAGTGGAATCTGGAAGAGTGGCCGCTAAAAGCAGTGGGGTCTTTTGACCCCAACATCCTGGGATTGAGTTTCTCTTCTCAAACAGAACCCCAGAAAAGCCACACTTAGTCCTGGTGTCGGGGCATTAAACCCAAAGGGAAAACGTGTCGCTGAAATGCTTGTGCCCTTTCTCCCGTTGAGTCCCCGTCACAGAAGAGGGAACTCTTTATGTAGCCAGTGTTCGTTGGAAGGTCTTTCCTGGCGAGCAAGAGGTTGTGGGGGGTCTTGGGAAATGCAGGAGAGGTGCCCCCAGAAGGCCCTGCACGGAAGGTCAGTCTTGCTCTCCCCTGGGATCCCCCGACCGCACCTCTCCTGGCAGCGCCGCGAACTTCCCGGTGGGAAAGCCTGCGGGTCTGCTGGGAAGCGGGTATGCGTCTTCCCATTCTGCAGATTGGGAAACTGAGGCGGGGATCCCATTGTGGCTGGATGCGGGCCCCACGAATTCCTTTCCGGGCCCAGCGGGAGGCCGGGCCGCCTGCCGGGGACAGGCCTGGAGCCCCGGCC